TTTTTAGCTACGCAGATGGCAAAAACACCGGAAACGGAAAAAATGTGAACACGTTGTGAACAATTTCGGTCAAAAAAGGACGCATGATAAGTAAATCTTCTATCAATTGATTAAACAGGGTGCAAAATATGCAATTTAATCTATGCACATAAAAAGATAAGTTCTTCTTTTACGTAGTTTCTGTATCGAAACACCGTCTGTTCGTCACACTTTTATTTTTGGCCGGATGGTTTTGTGCAACTTTTCAATCAATCTAAGGCAATATTAACAAAACTGCTCTTATCAGAGCGAGTAGTTTAAATTGAAATAGATGGATTTTCAGAAAAATAAGAAAATTTTCAGAAAAAGAGAAATTAACCTCCCACACGCTATGCAAAATACGAATTGATATATTTTGCATTTGGGAACAATAGATCAGTAGAAACACTAGTTTTGCGAGACAGTTGTGGGATCATTTTTGTTCCATCTTCAGTCGGTAAAACGGTCTGAGAACTTTATATTCTCAAGGTCGGTTATTAAATGTTTATCATTTTAACAAAAATAAAAATGTAAATTTGAACACGTAACAGCTAGAAGCTTTATTTAATTTAAGTTCTAATCATGTTTGATCCTTCGTCCGGGTTTTACTTTTTTTTGGGTATTAAAATCAGTTCAAATTTCTTGGAATTTTTGTGAAATTGCTTTGCTTCTTCTGACGTAGTGGCCAGTAATTGTAAATAATTGTAGTGAGTTATTGTAGTGATTTATCATCAATTTTTACTATCGTCAATCAGCCTTGAGTTTCTCTGAGTTCCATATATGGGAACGTATAAAAGAAATAGATGAAACGTTATCAATCGATTACTAGCGTGAATTTTTGTGAAGTCACTTTGATTGTTCAAAGGCTATTTATAGTATCCTTCCATTTTGTAGTCTGTATGAATGATTGGTGCGTAATTGTCGGCATACAAAAAAATTTACTCAGTAAGACTAAATAAGATGCAAAAATTGTGGGTTCAGCCGACCAGATAACGTGATCAATTTACAATCTTTCATTAGGAATTAGTAATTGATCATGATTTTATCTGAAAAGTAGATATCTAAACACAGAAGCTGAACGGAGTTTTTTCGCAAATCGTGAAATAAAAACAAATCTTTGCAATAAGCCGGCAGGTTATTTCAACAACGATTACGAGATGATATAAATATTATTTGAAAAGCAGGTACTTGAGTTGGCCTCATCGAAGTAGGTTCGAATAGATTTAGTTCGAATATTTTTTTTGAATACTGTAAACCTTCTGGCTATGTTCACTCAATTTTTTTGCCAAAAAATTTTTGTTTACTTTTTTGAAGACAGCATTTCATATCATCAGAATAAAGGATTAGCAGTCAATCTCTTGTAATTTCAGCACGTTAACTTTAAGACAGCCTCAATCTTAGAATTTTCTTCTGCGACGGAAGGAAGACCCACAATGATTCATGTTGATATCGTTTTGTGTTCGTCTCCTATCTAGCTGACTTGGTAATTTGTTTTATGCAAATATTCATAGATTAGATCACTCGTATTTTCCTTAAAAAAGTATTTTTGATTAGTTTTTTTAATTTATCTGATTTATTTTTGTATGGGCGTTCAGCTAGCCCGCATCGTCAAATTTTTTAATATATTGCAAATGTTTTCTCTATATGTGACTATTAAACAGTAATGCTCAAAAATAAAGTATTATCGAATTACTAAAGCCAAACAAGACTGCGCGTATACAGGGCAAAGCCCTGAATGTTGCGACAGCCCTTAATCCATATCGAATGTTTTTTTTTCGGAAAAAAAAATTGGAATATATTGGAATTTTAGATTATATCAAAGATCAAGTAAGAAAATTTGAGCGTACAAATTTGTATGACCGATTACTTAGCCTCAATGCAATTTGGAACGATTTCGTTGTGCGAGATAACTCGCCACGCAAAAAATAATTCGTGTTTCAATTTCAGCATTATGAATACAATCTTCAAAACGCGCAAAGTTTAGCCCAGAGAATGGCCGAAGTGGTAATTTTCAAACTCCCGAAACTTTGCATAAAAATTCGGAGGTAAAATAACATTTTTTAAACATTTGATTTCAAGGAGTCGATATCTCTAATTGAGTATAAAATTTTTCCATCAAAAACTATTTTATCGATCGCCGAAAATTGGGAAATTTAACATATTGGTAAAGTAACTTAGCATAGTGGTAAGGTGTTCATTATCATTTCGTCTGATCGAGTTCTCGATCTCCTGCCTTGACAGTGGTAGTGTGTGAGAACGAGCTCTCTCTCGACCTCTAGCTGCAGATGTACCAAATCCTCAGATCAACAAAATAACTCAGTTTGGAATGATCGGGGGAAATACGAAATGAGCTACCTTTAGGCAGGCTTGTTAAGGCTTGCTCAAATAATTTTTTGTCATTAACTAGAACCACTTTTATTGAAATCTCTCCGTTGTTATAGATCTTTCTGCAATAAAGAAACTAAGACAATTTTCCAATTTTGATGTCATAAAATTTTGCAAGGAAGCAATAGCACCGGAAATTTTGGAGTTTATATAAAGATTGTAGGCTTTGGCAACAAATCGGCGCAAGTTGAGAATATGATAATAAGCAATGAAGATACTTTTTATGTTTTCTGCCAATTTGATCACCTCCATTCACAATTTTCTCCCACCATTGTTTATCGGTACAAGAACATGATTTAATGAATACAGGCTTTTGAAATGGTTTTTGTTCACAGACTGTTGTTCCATTGAAAAATCTGATAAGTTCAATTTTTCCTTAAGAAGGTGTTCATTTTCGGATCTCTTTAATTATATCCTCCCTCAGGTACCTAGTAACGAATAGCCCCTATAAAGAAATGAATCAACAGTTAAGCATACCGGAATTTTATACTTAATAACGAATCTCCTTTTGCAAAAGGGGGATATAGATAAAGAGATCCTCATTTGCTTTATCCAGACTCTTTTCATGTCACATTTTCGGAGAGGAGAGTTTAAAAATGTAAATAATGATCTTCCAATAATGTTCTGTAAAATCTCTCAAAATAGCTAAGCAAAAGTTAAGACAACTTATTTATTTGGTCTAACAAGTTTTCGATTATTTCTTTCATGACAGCATTTTATATTCTCAGATTAAAGGATTGGCAGCTACACTCTAGTAATTTAAGTATAAGAACTTTGAGACGGCCTCAATCTTAGAATTTTCTTCTGCGACGGAAGGAAAACTCTAAGTAAACAATGATTCGGGTTGATATCGTTTTGTTTTCTACTCCTATTTTTTTTGTTTTATGCGAATATACATAGATTACAGCACTCGTTTTTTCCTGGAAAAAGATTCTTTGATTTTTTTCCCTGTTTTGTCTGATTTACTTGTATTTGCATTTAACTAGCCCGCATTGTCGATTTTTACAATGTAACTTGATTTGCATAATTGATTAATACTGACAAAATTGAGCTTTTCATGCAAAGACATAGAGATTAAACTCTAATGCTGAGATTCATTTTTTCAGGGAAAGTTCTGTTTTTATTCAATCAAAATTATCTTTCTTACTTTATTGAAAACGGAAAAAATATTTGGTTGGGGGAAACTTAAATGTTATATTACCATCGTAATGGCATGCCACTCGAAACACAATATCCAATTAAAGTTTGCCATTTTGGTGTAGCTACCAGAAATTGCGGTATATGAATTCGTATAATCAAAAAGTGAAGGTTTAACTTCAGATGCTTGTCAATTTTAGAAGACATTCCTAAGAAATAAGTATAATTGAGGGTATTTTTCAGCTCTTTGCGCCGTAAATTGCCATTAACCTAGCTTCACTTATAGGCAACAGAATGTCTCAATGTCTTCAAATACTTACCCGACTAGATTTACAGTAATCCTTAGGCAAGGAAAAATGTGAATGAATAATGAATCCAAAGTCAAAAAATGGTGGAAAAGATTATAAATCATTATTTAGGAGTCATATATCTTTTTCTGATTTAGCAGCAACCACAAAAATGGTCAAACTTCATTTGTTGTAGTTGCAGCAATTTTGCAGAAAACGAACGTAGTTTTGCTCTCTTGCTTTTTTAGGCGAATAAGCCAACTGTCATTTGATGAAGTCATAACATTTATCGGATTTTAATTCTGCAATTTCTTCAATGTTTTTTCAGGGGGTCTAACCAGGGGGAGTCTAGGATGGGGGTGGAGATTTTTTTCTAGGACGTGGGGAGGAGGAGTTCTCCCAAAACATCATACAGACCCAATGTTGCCAAAATAGCAGGCGAAGCGGGCAAATTTTTAGAAGGCAGACCAAAAAGACCGTTTTTGGGCTCTTTTTGAAGGTTTTGATAAAAAAACATAGCGTGTTTTTGGCGCGTGCTCCCCTCTGAAAGTAAGGACATATTGGCACCGAACACGCCTAGAGAAAAAAGTAAGTCCGCATGTCATAAAATAGTACCAAAGGACCAAAGGGGGAACCTTTGGGTGACGAGGGAGTCGAATCCCTGCGGGAAGGTAGCGTCCCTCCTAAATCTTCCCCTTGAACTTGTTGGAAAAATCTTCAACTCCAACAATTTATTAGCGTGTTGATGGGTTCTGGGCTTCAACTATGGGTGTCAGTTTGTACCAATGATCTTCTGTAAAAATTTTATCTAATCTGTTTTCAGTTGATCTACATTTTTTTTCTTTCAAATGTGTCATCTCTTATTTTGCGCGGAGAACGCGCCGAAAAAAAATTCAAAATTTTTTGCAACAAGTTTTTTTTGGAAAATTGAGTTTTTGATTCAAGGAGAGCTCGGAAAATCGAAACAACTGATCAGATTAAAATGCTTACAAATTTTGAAGCACATGTAAGTCAAAGATGCGCCAGCCAAAAACTTTATTTCAACGAATATTTTTAATTCATACTTAATTTTTGAAATTTTCTTGTAGCGTAAGTAACGTTTTTTACAAACACAAACGGAAATATAAAAAAATATATGCAAAAAATAATTCGAAATAAAACTTTTGATCCGAATTCAATTTTAATTTTGAAAAGACTTCATATATTCATCCATTCTCAAAAAGTGAACTCCTTTACGCGTGAAATTTTTCTCGAAAAGAATCAAGTCGTCGTGAAATGTCTGTTTGTTCAAAAATTCAGCAGCTACTTTTTCCAAATCCACTTTGTAATTTCTTTTAAATTCTTTCGCTTTTGCATCGTTGTAGTAGGTACATATTGCTCGGTTCCAATAAGACGTTACATCACCAACATCAAAAAATAGTAAAATTCTGAGTAATTGCGACAAAAGATTTTGCTGTAAGTCTTCGTAAGAAATGACCAAAACAGGTTTTCCATCATCGAAAATGGCAGACAATATGCTCAATCCTCGGCTGGTTTGTTGCTCGTAAGTTTGGGCGAAATTTGCACTGAAGTATCTTTTGCTGAAACAAACGTTGATACTCTTGCCAGTTTTATGCTGCCATTACAAGATTATCCCAAAGAGAGCTCAAATCTTGCTACGCAGAAAGATCTCAAACTTTCTCCTGTGCTGCATTTAAATAATTCTCTGACATAATTAAAGAACGTAATGACGCTTTTTTGGGAAAACGTTGAGCCAAATTTCGCGATCCCATAAGTCGTCTTTTTATTGCCGAAGTCATATTTGAAAAAAATGATAATTATGATGGGCGTTTGAAAATTTTGCAATATTTTCAGCAAATTTTTTTTGCCAGCTTAAGTTCTTTTTTTGACAGCGTGTAAGAAACAATTTGGCTCAAAAACATTCTTTTCAGGTAAAGTTCGAACCACCCAATTAATTTCCTTAAAAAATCTTACGGCATAGTTAATAAGGCAAAAATACAAGTGATCACAAAATTAACCAACAAAAGTTAAAGATTCTCAAAAAGAGAAGCGCATCTGAGATTTTTGCTAGAGTGCGTTTTTTGAAACAAGGCTCGAAATATTTGTCAATCTTTCTTTTTTGTTTTTGAGAAAAACGTGCAAACAAACACAAAACATGGGGAATTTTTTATACTATGATCAACCCCGGTGAGAATATTCGATGAATTATGCTTGCTTTATAACGCGGTGACATAGTATCTAAATTTAGTTCATGTTTCGATTCCAGTTCCATTTCTAGTTGTGCTATTTAATTCATTTATCTGTCTGGCGCAAACTAATATTTAACCTTCGGAGTTTGTCTGTCACCTTCGGTTGACCGCCAATTTATTGTCTCCGACTAACTTTCTATCACACGGTTACTTTTCTTACTATAACAATTCAAACTATCGAAACCGTATTTTCACATGGCGCAGCGAACAGGCCAAAGTGGGGTGGGGGGAAGGAAACCCACTGGGGATTACATCGTTTTGGCCCTCGACGTTCGCAGAGCCACCAATGCTATGGGAGTTTTGGTTTAATCGTTTTCAATGGGGAATGGTGGCCAAACATAGCCTAAATCCGAAGAACTTCTATTATGCCAGTACGTTAACCGCAGCGCAGGTTACAGCACTACCGGAGGAGGTAGACGGAAAAGATCTTCTGGCGTCGGAGCAAACGCTTATCTCGAACTTGTATTTCTGTCTGGGGGAGAAAGGACAGGATGAGCTACATAAGAGGAGGCCACACCTGGATTTATCTACGACAAGGTACTCTAGGGTATTAGATACCATCGAAACGGAATCTAAGAAGGAACGGAATGAAACTTATGAAACATTCCAATTATTGGCACGGAAACAACAAATAGGAGAATGTTTGGAGCAGTTCCACTCAGTGTTAAGCGGGCTGGCCGCCCGATGTAATTTTGGAACGTCGGAGACCAGAATTCTGCGGGATGTGTTCATTGTGAACATGAACAATAGAGAGGCTAAAAATGAACTATGCCGTTCGACTAAGTCACCCTACGAGGTGTACCGTATTGCACTTTCATACGAACGTGGATACAAATATGCTAAATCATACGGATCGGCAACCGGGGAAGTAACAACTAGTGGCACCACCGGTGGAAATGGAGCGTTCCCAATCAAAACGGAACCGGTGGGGACAATCCGAGGAGGATACCGAAATAATAGACAGCGCGGCCGTGGATCGTTCAGAGGACGAGCAGAGATGAGAGGGGGAGTTTCTAGAAGATGCTATAATTGTGACCAACCCAACTTTACTCCGGAACACCTTACTAAATGTCCAGCCAAAAATGCGACGTGTAATTTCTGCAGGAAAACGGGACATTACGAGAGAACTTGTCGGGGAAGAGGAATAACCGGGAAAGACCGGCAGTGGGACTAATCCAAAATCAGGAGGATATAGAAGCTAGTGAAATAGGCGACGCTGAGGATACTTATTCGCAACATATGAATTCAGTTGGCTGGGTTAACACGCCGGTAAAGAAGCAACAATGGTGGGTTTCGGACAGCTCAGGAGATTATGTTGTCATGGCTATCAAATCTCGGAGAGAAACGGAATTGAAGTTGGCCGGCGCTCGACTACCAATTAAGGTAAATGGGAAACAAACGAATGCCTGGATAGATAGTGGATCACCGATTTCAATATTTACCATTGGAGAATTAAAGCGGACGTTGGGCACCGCAGGAGTGAACGTGAAGGCACCAGCACCGGAGGACGACGAATTCAGGGGTTACGAAAACAATCCCTTACGACTGTTAGGAACGATGGAAAACTTGTTAGAAACGAACGGATGGGTGACTAGCACGAATATCAGAGTGATCCGAGGAAGCAGACCGTCGATTATTGGGAGAGATCTAATGCCAAATCTGGGATTGCAAATAGTACAGAAGGCACCGGAGGAGAACGTGATGTCGGTGCAGGGAGAATTATAAGGTACACGCGGATTTTTTCGACACGTTAACGCCGATTCAACAAAAAGGACGGAGAGTGCCATCACATTGCAGGATAAGGTCAATAAGGAAATTAATAAACTTTTACGGCAAGGGCACATCAAAAAACTGGAAATATGTTCGGATAAGTATTTTGTTTCTCCGATTGTAATAACGGTGAAAAAGGACGGATCAGTGAAATTAGCGTTAGAATCCCGGGAGTTGAACAAGCAAGTCCACAAGAATAAATACCAAATGCCGAATATTAAAGAGCTCATGGACCTGGTAGGTCAAACGTTAAGCGAACGGAAACCAGGAAAAATGTATATTTCTCTACTATGGACCTTACGTATGCGTACAGTCAATTACCACTTAGCCCGGAAACGAGCGTCCAATGCAATTTTCCGCTGGTGGGAGGAAAATCAACGGGCACGTATCGTTTTCAAACGGGGTTCTACGGCCTTACACTTATGCCTGCGGAATTTCAAAGAGTGATGGATACGATCCTTTCGGAGTTTCCGCAGGCGCACGCTTTTATCGACGAAGGCACTGAAATTGAGCATATTTCGGCGGTCGAAAGAATCTTACGGAAGTTAGATCGCGAGAATATGTCGCTTAAGCTTACTAAATGCCAATTTGCGCGGAAAGAATGTGATTGGTTGGGGCATAAAATAACTTGTACCGAAATCACACCGCTAATCCGAAAAACGGAACCGATCGAATCGCTAAAAGCACCAAAAACGGTGTCGCAGCTAAAATCCTTTATGGGTTTTATTCATAGCCTGCACTAAAACCTTCCAGCACTCGCGGAATCATCAGCCTCGTTACGTCCTTTTTTAAGCAAGAAAAACGAATATATTTGGAATAGTGAATGTCAAATATCATTCGAGAATCTGAAAAAACAAGTGGCTAATATAGTAGAACTTCGGCACTTTGATATACACCGTGACCCAAGAGTCGTATGCGACGCTAGTCAGAACGGGCTCAGAGCGGTTCTTGAGCAACTAAATTTCGACGGCTGGAGGCCAATATCCTTCGCATCCCGGTACTTAAACGAGGCAGAGAAAAAGTACTCTACGAATGAATTAGAAATGCTTGCAGTTGTGTGGGGGGCGGAGTATTTCCAAAACTATGTGTTGGGGAGAAATTTTTCAATAGTTACGGATCATAAGGCACTTGAATCATTGCTAAATGGTAACAACAAAAAGAACAAAACAATGTTCAGTAGATTAACCAGATGGTTAGATCGTCTTATACCGTTCGATTTTCAAGTGGAGCAGAAACCCGGAGCAAAAATTGGACTCGCCAATTACCTATCGAGGCACCCCAGCTTGGACGCTAAACCGGTCAGCAACTATGATAGTATGTTTACAGTGGCGAAAATTACTAGAATTAGATCCGCCCTCGGATTTGAAAACGAATTTTTCTCCAAAGGCAGACTCGAGTCTCCATCGGTTACTAATAATAAACGCGTTTGTAATATATCGAATGGAAAACAACCGGTAGAGGGCGAATGATCATGCGGCGGAAATTGGACCAATCACAGAGCGACAAATCGCATTTCCGGCAGGTCAATTAAGTTTAGTGGAAATTTAGTTGGGACTATTATTGAAGCTGAATTTGGTTACATAAATTCTTCAAAAATAAACATTCAAAATTCAAAATATAACTCAATTGTGGAGAGAAAATCAGAAAACTATTGGCATGACACCCCAGCATTAGTAGTAGCGATGAAATAGAGGAGATTGATCAGGATATGCAAGCGGTTACAACAGAAGTCCGGAGTACTAAAACTAACACCATCATTTCCATTCCGTCGGTTTACCCCGGTGAAAGTTATCCATTAGTTAATCCGGAAAATCGAGTTATGTCCGTTATCCCGAGAAGTTGTAAGGTTGTGAGTAAACAAACCGCCCTTCACGAATTGTTTAATCTTCGATTTATAGAATCACAATATAATTCCGATCCTCAATTACAAGCCATTATCGAAATGATTAAATGTAAAGACCCTCAGTTACACACAAAAGTTGCAGCAATTGGTAAGTACTATGCATGAGTACTATCAGGATTTTCATGTAAGAGACGGATGCCTGTGGATGGACGAGAGGCTAGTTATTCCTAACACCTTGCAAGCGGCGGTGAACAATAGGTTGCGTTACTATCACCACGGAAAATCGAGTATGTATGACGCGGCCAAAGACATCTGGTACCCGTACAGGCTCCGTAGCTTAGCAACGATTGCCGGAAATTGTCCAGAATGCACATTAGCTGGTAAGAATTTGAAAAATATGTGTTCAAAAGGGGATATAGGGAAAATACCTGAGCCGAAAGAACCGAATGAGTCGGTTCAACTGGACCTTTGGGGGCCAATTAACTACTTAAAGAAGTCTAAAAAGTATGTTTTGGTAGCGGTAGATCAATTTTCCCGTTGGCCATCGGCGATGGTCTGTAATTCGAACCGGTCGGATAAAATTATTAAATTTCTAAAAGCAGACATTGTTGCCCACGGAGTTCCGAGACAAATTCGAGTTGACCAAGGAACAAACTTTATATCCAAGGAGGTTCGGTCATTCTGTCATAAAGAGGGAATTGAAATGCTCATCTCGCCAGTTAATGATCATAGGGCAACAGGATGTGTCGAACGCATGATTGGCAGCATCAAGAATTCAGTACTTACGTATGCCCGGGAGGATAAACCGGAACCCTTGGATCGGATGGTTGAAAGAGCCCTCGGTGCCTTAAGATTTGCCAAAAACGCTACCCTCAACATAACACCGTTTGAAGCGCACCACGGTCGGAAAGCTAACACGGTTTTCAGAAATTTGACCAAAAAGCCATCATTATGGAATCTAAATTTTGGAAATGTATTACGTTCAAAATCTGCCTGTTTAGATGAACAAGACCCAAACGCCCAAGCAATGCCGGAGCCAATGGATACGAACTGGGGAGTCCGATCGGATACAGATTACGACCGGAAAAACAGGCGACACCCAATGAAACTGGCTGAGGACCAAGCTGCTAACCAGGATAATGAGCCTGGAATTGTGCGGGCACTGAATGAACCGGCTGAAGTACCGCCGGCAGCCGTAATGCAGAAAACCGGGGAGCGGAATATGAATAGGTATAAACCATTAAAATCCAGTATAGTTAATCAAAGTGATCACACTATTAAAATGAGTAATGGTGCTGTGCTTAGAAAATCAGGAGTAGCACTCAAGAAGGCAAAATTTCCAAAAAAACGGGCGCCGGGACAAATCGCTGCAGCACCAACGCCGCGGGACCTTAAACGGAAGCTACTAGCAAGTAGTAGTCAACAAAGCAGCTCAAAAGGCACCATGGGAACCTCTCACCGCACCATGGGAAACCGCTCAAGATTCCAAATTTTGGAAACCGCGGAGGATTCGGAATCAGAAGAAGAGGACTATTAACCGCTCATCTCAACAAAACTGGCTATTGATCCGACAACTAAGGGGACAGACGCTGAAAGGGAGGGACAAGGAACGTCTAGTGGGGGACAGAACCAAGTACAATCCAAAACAATCACAATTCGACCTAGCAATTATGAAACGGCAACAGAATATACGATGGCTTGCGAAAAAGAAATCGAAGCTAACCGAAGGAAGGAAGACACCGAAGGAAATATACCACAGAGGGTGGAGCGAGAGGCAGAATAAATTCCAGCAACCGGGGTAAAAAAGCGTGGTCGGAAACAACGACTTGTTTCCTATTCAAGCCAAGATTCGGCGAGTTCCTTGGACGAAACCAGTTCAAGACGATCGGGCAGAAAACGAACAGCAGTTACCAAGATGGGGGCGGTTATGATTGACACTATTCAAAAGGCGGATAAGTCAGGAGCGAAATGAAGAAAAAAAAAGAGTAGAAAACATGAGTAACAAACTTACAAAAGCAAACTTACAAAACTTTATAACATGAGGAGGTCCAGGGAGAGGGCATGCCGTGCAGCGGCAAAAACTCAAAGATTATGTTTTGAAATTTTGTCATAGTGGATTGCTAAAACTTAGTTGAAACCCGTTATTAACCTTATTGATTTGTTGATAACAGCATTGATAGTTAAAACTCATTATTAACCTTATTGATTTATTGTTAACAGCATTGCAGTGGATACGTTAAAAAAATTCGTTAGTTTTTACAAGGAGGGAAATGTCATAGTATCTAAATTTAGTTCATGTTTCGATTCCTGTTCCATTTCTAGTTGTGCTATTTAATTCATTTATCTGTCTGGAGCAAACTAGTATTTAACCTTCGGAGTTTGTCTGTCACTTTCGGTTGACCGCCAATTTATTGTCTCCGACTAACTTTCTATCACACGGTTACTTTTCTTACTATAACAATTCAAACTATCGAAACCGTATTTTCACATGGCGCAGCCAACAGGCCAAAGTGGGGGGAAAAACCCACTGGGGATTACATCGTTTTGGCCCTCGACGTTCGCTGAGCCACCAATGCTATGGGAGTTTTGGTTTAATCGTTTTCAATGGGGAATGGTGGTGGCCAAACATAGCCTAAATCCGAAGAACTTCTATTATGCCAGTACGTTAACCGCAGCGCAGGTTACAGCACTACCGGAGGAGGTAGACGGAAAAGATCGTCTGGCGTCGGAGCAAACGCTTATCTCGAACTTGTATTTCTGTCTGGGGGAGAAAGGACAGGATGAGCTACATAAGAGGAGGCCACACCTGGATTTATCTACGACAAGGTACTCTAGGGTATTAGATACCATCGAAACGGAATCTAAGAAGGAACGAAATGAAACTTATGAAACATTCCAATTATTGGCACGGAAACAACAAATAGGAGAATCCTTGGAGCAGTTCCACTCAGTGTTAAGCGGGCTGGCCGCCCGATGTTATTTTGGAACGTTGGAGACCAGAATTATGCGGGATGTGTTCATTGTCTAACTTTCTATCTCACGGTTACTTATCTTACTAGAACAATTCAAACTATCGAAACCGTATTTTCACAGCGGTTAGCAGTTAGTATACTTGAGAAGGCTTGTGCGTTTCTATGAAACATAGCATGTCTACGTTTATTCTACTAGTGAATGTGGGCTAAAATGACTTTTTTCTAAGTCCAGAGAATAACCTTCTGATCTTACCTGGGAGGGGATCCAGCTACTTTTCTGAAGTCTGCTTCGCTCCTGAATGATATAGTATGACCATACTTTCGTCTATTAAACTCGGCCAACGTACTCCGCAGGGGGTTCCGGAACACGTGAACAAACTTCGCCATAGTTTTGTAGTATTTGGTGTTTTCATCTGCAAAAAAAGGTGTTTTTTTTTCAGAAAAAAACTCTTCCGCCACACACCGCTGCTTTAAATTATCCGGAAAAAATGAATTAAACTTGAAAATTAGAACACATTTTTCTCAAATTGGGTTGGTTTTGGACAAAAATTAGAGAAAACAAATCTTGCCTAGAATTTAAGCAGAGTTAAAATGGTGCAAATTAGTTTGCGAAATTCGAGACAAAATTTTTAACCCAAAAAAGTTTTGTCTTTTTAGCCCATCAAAATTTAAAAGATATTAATAAACTAACTGTCATTTATTTGGAGTCCTTCATGCATTTTAAACATGGTCGTTTTGCCACTAGTAAGAGTTTCCGTTTCCCCTGGAAGACCTTTTCTCACCAAATCACCAGACCGGTAAATACTTCCGGATAGAATGCCAGTTAACTTCTGGAACAGGAGTCTAGTCCACGTGTTTCCCGATCCTGGTATAGTAACGAGTCCAATTTGGGGCAAAACCGGCGCTTGCGGGTTCAAAAACACTGACTCGCGGCAGTTCTCAAGAGCCCATTGAGTGGCGGAAACTTCCCCGTGTTTGCACTTTTCTGAAGATTCTGAGATATTTTGATCCATGTCTATGAAGTATAAAAAATCCAAAAAATTAGGAGCACAATAGCACATTGTTGCTTTAGCCAAAGTTACCACACTGATTGAAATTGACAGTTGTTTTTTTGAACAATCCTCGTAGCATGCGGTTTTCGTTTCTTTCTCGGAAATAGATTCTATTCCTTTATTTTGAAGATTATTTATATTTGTTTTGAGACAACCGAGAAAATTGTTGGTTCCTTGTAACTGCGGATAGTGTCTAACAGTAAGCCGGTACGATAAAAACAGACTTGAAATATGATTAGCAGTCGAGCAGCCGTCAAAATTGGCCTCCCGCATTGATGAATTTTCATTAGAGCAAAAGCATTCGCTTGTTTTTAATTTAACATTAACTTCGCTAAATCCTCGTCCAACGCAAAAAAGTGCGCAGTCTTGTTTCGGTAGCTTGAGTATTATATCAGTCTCGGGGTTTGGTTCTCGGCATTTTACGAAATCAACATGAGCGACTAAATTTACGATAGAATCCAGCGGCGTTTGGTTCCATAGCAGATCAGGCCGAGGACTGATTTTGGGTTTGGTTTTCAGTCTAAAAAACATCAAAACTTCAAGATTGCAAAAAGAGTACTTTATTAAGTATCGGTACACTTTTTTGCGCTTAAATGCTATCAAGTTATTTTTCAGAATTTTCAAATTTTTAGCAACTGGAGGCTTTTTGATGATAAATAAACTCGAAAAATCCAAAATATACATAGTATAAAAGTTTATCCCAAATTAGATTTGATTGAAATTAAATTTTTTTACCTTGGTTCTGTTGGTCTGAATTTTTCAAACTTTTCTAATTCTGGCTCTTGACTCCGCTCTGGTTTGTTTCGCTTAAAAGTTTCCTTCACAAAACTGCAGACCAAAATCAAGGTAATTAACATAACTACAGATCTAAATCGCAGGAATTTTCGCATGAAAACTTTGACCACGTTTGAAACGGCCATTTTTTGATTTTCAGAATTTCAAAAAACTTAATGTCAAAAAACTTAACCGAAAACAAAATAATTAAACTAATTCAAGAGAAAATGTAAAGCGTACAAGATTTTAACTTTTCTGATTTTGTCGTCAACGTGTTTTAAAATGACTGTACTTTTCATTCAATAATAATCAATGAGATGAACTTCATACGTTCTTTGCTTGCTGACAAAATTTGTATGCACTTTTTCTTCTGGCAATCACAGATCTTGTTCTTGTCATGATTTTATATTCATAAAAAGTTGTTGATGTTTATCAAAAAGAAAAAACTTTTTTTTCTGAGGTAGCTCAAATAATAAAAGATGTGCCAATTAAGACCAATACTTAAACATGTTTTCTCAAGAATTGTCTGAATTATCTGAATAAATGTTTAGTAAGGAAAAAATCAAATGCACGTTTTTATGGTCTTCCAGTACTTATATTTTAGGTCCTAAGGTAGCAGGGCAAACTGCCCTTTGACAATGTATTCCATTTTCCAATCTACCCTATACTTTTTTACAGTATTCCAAATTATTAATGGGCTGCATTTTTTTTCCACGGGGTTTCAAATTCTTCAAAAAACTGTGGGTGGTCGCGTTTGATGTCATACTTAAGAAATTCCACTTGTGATTCCAGGTCGTAGTTTCAGTTCAAAAACTCACCCATTGGAAGAACAAATAGCATATGACATTTAAATGCTATTTTTGATCGACATTTCTTGCCTAATTTTTCTTGAAAAAGGAAGAAAAATCCTGGAAAAACACATAATCGCTTGAAATTAAATTTTATTTCTGAATTTGCAAAATATCTGTATATGGAACAATTTTTGCTACCTGAACAGCAACTGCTGACTTTTTTTTCTGGTGAAAGAGAAAATTTTTAAAACTTTCCAAGAAGTTCTTTTTTTTCAAGTTTGTTGATAAATCAATTCTGCTTACCGGTTCTGTCCACTAATTTGATTTAAACTTGTTTCCGTCCGAGTTTTTTTTATTAATGAGTTCGGATAATGTATTTAACACAATTTTATAAGTTGATATTTTTTATATTTAGCATCAAAATTGTACAGGTAGTTTGCTAGGCCTATAAATTCATCGGTGACAGGACAAAGTACCCCATACGAAAGTATCCCATTACAAAATATCCCATACCAATATATTCCAATGAAGACAATAGTCCATGCCAATATAGCCCACGTCAATTAAAATATCCCATAAAGGGTTTAAAATTAGTTTATGATATAGGTTACCAAGGACTAGTGCATATCTCTATATCGCAATTAAAAAGAGACTCAATTCAACTGCTTCAATTATTTCGACACGCCATCTAGAGATAGTGCTAATGATAAAAGACGCTTTTCGAGGGATTAATTTTATTTTTCAACCTGTTAATGGAGTCATAATTGAGAAACATTTGATAATGAAATACAATGCAAAAATATATCATTACAAACATAGCACTAAAACAAGGAACACTAATATGACAGATTTTATTTTTGTTAAAACTCAACAAGGCAAAGCGTTGCTTATCTTGGACGAATAGGAGTTCACTAAAAAGCGAGACACCAAATCTACCACTCACCAGCTTTGTGCAAGTTGGCTTTCCCATAAATGCCCAATGACTTTTTCAACTTGTGACGAAACCATTATTTTGTTCAATCACGGGCACAACCATGAGTTTAACCCCAGTGGCGTAGAAGCAAGGCAGCTAGTTAGTCAGTTGAAAGAAACAGCAAAGTCGCAAATCAATCCTGTAAACAATCAGAAGGTAGAAGCTGGCCTCAAGACTGTGAACGATAATCCGGAAACTCAGCTTTCGCATCCTTGACGTGCAGCCCTGACAAGAACCCTCAATAGGAACAAAACGCAAGAACCATTCGAAGTGATTTCCTTGACCGCCCGTCATTTCGACATTCACGAGCGAAAATTGATCGTATTAGGCAACAGTTGGTATCAATTCGAAAAGCGGCAATTCGACGCAGATCAAATTATGATAATAAATAGAAAACTAGTTGAAGACAAAACTGCTTGGCGAATGCAGAGCAACTATGTCTGTAAGCTTTAGCGGGTGTAAAAATTCATATGAAATGAAATTGTTTCCTGGATGTCGCACTTTTTTGTCACTTTACTTTTACGCCATGAAATTCAAATAAAACATTTTTACCAAACTATAATTATCGTACCGACTTTCACAACGAAACTAACGAAATATTTATGCTCGGGTTGGCTTTTTTCTTCAAGCAAACTTCGACTTTTTATCCAGGCTTTTTGACGGAACTTTTATTTATCATTCGAAAACTATTGCTGTCCTGCGCCAAAATTTGAAAAGTTATTTTACGTTTGATCAATTTTCGTAAAGTATAAAGATTTCCATTTTGTCTAATTTGGGACAATTAACGCGCGATATGTTTCGCGTTATTAACGCGAAAGCGGACATCTAATCCGTCATAGAAATCGTTCCAAAATGGTCAAAAAAGCTGATTTGCCATAATTGGTTTGTTAATACGAGTGAAATAAATCACTTGGTACTTTATATGGCGTGATGGGGATGATTTTTACAAAAAAAAATTAATTTTTTTTTAATTTCCTTTTTTTTCATAGCATTTAATTTTTGATGTTATTACAGCTCTATAGACCTTAAAAGGCAGTCGGAGCATTCAGGGGTTGTTAATTTAAACATCAAGCTAAACTTCCGAATTGCAAATTTTCCGGCTCAAAAGCTTAAGTCTTAACAGTCTCTGAGTAAGTAGTCTCATTTTTTCGGTCTTTTATTATAAACTTTTCGGTCCATTTAATTTATTATTTTTTTTTGGTCCATTTTCGGTCCACTATTAAATGCTTTCGGTACATAACTATAAATTTTTGAAATCAAACCTCGAACATCAATCCGCAGAAGGTTTTACTGGACTTTGAGAAAATCGCATTGAAGACATCTGTAACACATTTCCTTTGACCCAGTTAATTGGTTGCTCATTTAAGACAAAACTTCATAATTTTGCCTTGAAACGGAAAATGAGTGGGTTTTCTGCTTTCTTTGGAACTGAAAATCTTTCATTTTCTCCTTTTTGCCTAACTGAATTATTGACATTTTGCTTAACCGAAGTTAAGGAAGTTTTGTGACGTGCATTCAACTGATCCTGAAAAATAGAGAACATGAACAACTCTGTCTCGATTACCAAAAAACCTATAATAATTGCCTGCATTGTCCCCATTAACGATCCTATGATTTCCACGTCTTATGAAATCACCACAGGACTGCAACGAGGCAACGAGCGATGGTGTCCCATTTGCGAACGATTTTAATTGGCGTTCAATCTTTTTTCACACTTTTTTCGACGTCTCCTTGAACATTCCCGGGATGCCTGAAATGCAATACCTTGACTAGGATTGAAAAGGCTGTCATACCGTAGTCCTTATGAAGGGGCATTATGTTGGAGTTGGGGCCTGTTAGCGCCTTAGACTTTTCAATTATTTGCTTTGAAGTCAAAAAAATTGCTCAAACTAGTAAAAATCTATTAATTTTGCCCCCTGTGATTAAGTTTTTGGAGCGAAACGATTAGTTTCATATCATTTTTGTTTTATTGATAAATTTTTTGAATTTTTTGATTACCTATCTTGTGTTGAGTTTAGCCAAATTCAATGAATTTGTTTCATTTTTTTTTTACATTTCCAGGCATTAACAGATCAGAACAGATCTCGTAAAGAAACTGTGCGACTTTCTATATAGCCTGAATGTCCAAAATTGTGGCTGATGAAAAAAAAATTATCTGATCACTGGCGAAATTTCGAGTAGAAGCGGTGCTTAAGCCAAAATTTCGTGGACTTTTTTTTTAGGTCGACCAATTTGATTTTCCGAGCTCTCCTAAAATAGTACAAGGACCCTATTTTTTGAAAAATTTTCTGCGCCGCAGGCATATAATTTTAAAAACAGTGCCAAAAAAGGCAATTTTGGCAGCCAGAATTGAGGGAGAGGGGGGTCGCCCCCCCCCCTTCCCCCCTCGGCACGCTACTGGCTATCAAGTTAACATCCTCCCCCATTTCTAAACCAAATTAGGATTTTCTTCCCAATCATTTAATTTAGAATAAATTGGCTCAGCGCTGCGTGTATAATGCTCAATTCCGATTGGTTGAAAATTCCAGCTTTGAGCAAAGTTAACATCCCCTAAGTCGCTTTAGGGGAGAGTTTGTTAATTTGGTCCATTTTAAGCTTACGCAGTCGTACCGACGCGACAATTGTTCTCAGTCGCGAGATGTCATCTTGTCAAATTTTGGTCGCAAATTTCTGAACACAGCCAACTTCCTTGGCGAACTCTCATAGCTAGTTTCCTTGGGTTGCGAAAGTTCTAATTCGGTTCAGGGGCAGGTCTAGGATTTCAAGGTGGTTGGATTTTCGAAAAATTTTCGAAAACGTTGTCTGCTGCAAGTTTTTTAAGGTCAAATTGATTTTTGAGCTCTCCCAAGATCATTTTTGAACTCTCCCAATTCATAATAAAGACATGATTATGACCAATTTTTTGCGCCGTAGAAAAAATTTTGCTAAAGCAAAAAGACGTTTTTAGCACTTTTTGAAAAATTTTGACCTAAATACTCATATTACTTTATATTGGCGCCAAAAAATCCACTAGAAAAATTTGAGGGTCGGTTAGCAAAAAACGGATATTCTAAAGCAGTATTAACAGGGGGGACCCTTTGGGTCGTCAGGGTGTCGAAATCCTGAGGGGAGAGAAGGCGTCCCCCCTAAATCCTTTATGATTTGATTCAAAGGTTTCGATACCTTATTAGTTTCTGACGATCTCTACCCAAGGATCTTTTATCAATTCATTCTGTTTAAGTAGTTTCAAACCCAATCAAAGCAGCTTTAGGATTTGTTTTCAGAGAAGTTGATTTTATGGAGCAAAGCTTCATACGGTGGTTGAAATCTTTGAAATTTGCAATCAATTTGATATCACTAAGCAGACAAACCACAATATCGGCTCAGTTAAATCATCTTTTCTTAACTAGCCATAGAATCGCGTCTCTGCTTAAAGCATAACTGTATTCGAACTTGAAAGGTTATTTTTATTTTGGCAGTTTCCTTCTAGTCTCTCTGATAAGATTGCAATCAATTATTATGAGTTGACTTTCTTATGATCCATGTGAATTATTCTCCCTTTGAACAACTGGGCACGCGGCGAATAAACCTTTCAATTATTAATTTTTACCCAAAACTCTAAATTCGAACAAGGTGAAATTGATCCGAAACTTTCGAATCTAGGAGGGATACTAAGTCAACCCATTTCGAAATCCATGTTTGGGGTGGCATATCGAGCTCCATATACTGTACTAAACTGAATTTCACGTCAAACCGAGCTATTCTAGACTTTGGTTCTATCTCAAAACTGTTAGGTTGGTTTTTGTGTTAGGAATTGAATGTGCAAAAAATAACGCCTTAACTACTCAATAGCAAGTAAATGAAAACTCAACATTAATTTATAAAAAGGTATAACCCTGAGAGTTATTCATGTGCTTTATGGAGAGCGGCTGTTGTTTTCCTGTAACTTATAAGCAAGTTTTTTGATGTTTTGGTTAGTGATAGAATTTTTCAGCTTCGCGAGCGTTAATCATAGACCATAACAAGACTGCTCGTATCAGGGCGAAGCCCTGAATGTTCCAACTGCCTTTTAAGGTTTATGGAGCAGTAATAACATACAAAATTAAATGAGATAAAGCAAAATGAAAAAAAATTTTTTCTAAAACTTGAATTTTTTAATAAAAATTATCCCCCACACGCCATTTAAAGTAAAAAAGAATAGATTTCGCTCCTTGTAACAAATCAATAATGGCAAATAAGCTTCGTTCAACCAATTTGGAACAATTTATAAGACGGATTAAAATCTCCTCTTACGCGTTAATAGCGCGAATTATATCGCGCGTCCATTGTCCCAAATTGGTGAAAAAGGCAATCTTTAAACCCTCATAACTTTACGCAAAATGATCACAGGTGAAATATCTTTTCAAATTTAGGCTCAGGACAGCAATGGCTTTCGAATGATATAAAAAATTCCGTCAAAAATGGCTAGTTAAAAAGTCGAAATTTGTCTGAAGAAAAAAAAAACCCACCCCGAGCACAAATATTCCGTTACTTTCGTATCGAAAGTCGGAACAATGAGTCTTAAGCCATCGACCTTTCGATTGAGGCGAGGAAAATTTTGACCTATTTAGCATTCTCTCTTTTTTTGAATTTTGATAATTAATTGTAATTAGGTTTTCGCGGCTCTTGGAGTTTGACGATTGCCGATGGTGATAGAGATCAATTTGTATTCCGACTATTTGAAAAATGTGGAGCAAATTTGTAGTCGGGTGTGTTTTACCCGAGTCGAGATTTTAAATATAACTTGAAGCAGAATTTGAGCGGTTTGAGCGGTTTTTTTAGACAATTGCGCTCAAATCTTGCTTCATCATGAGCGGTTTTTGAGCGGGATCTCGACCCAGGTAGTTTTTTCCAGGCAAAATCAGGTACCACAATAAATCATCAGAATGATTCGAGTGATACATCAAATTGAAGCCCTTTCATTCGTGATTCGAACAACATTTTAAAATGTAATCTCAAAAGAAGGTTTCCTCACTATCGAGGAAAACTGGCTTGAGTTTTTTGATTTGTGTTTCAATTTCGAGCGAATTTAGCAAGTGGGCAGGCTTACAGCAGCTTATTTGGGCTTAAATCAAGCCCTGAAAATTTAAGTTTAAGCTAGTAAAATTAATTTTTGGACTTATATATAAACTAACTTCAAAAACATCAAAAAAATTTTACAAAAAATTGGAAAAAAATGAATACTTGAAAAAATTGTTTTTATAGTTTTTTAAAAACTAAGGTCGGAACATTCTGTGCTATTTGCACAGCATCCGACTATCCTTGTTATCCATTGCCAATTGTTCAAAATTGTTCAATTTGCGTAAAACCATTTTCTTCTAGTTTTTGCTTTTAACAACAATTTGTTTTGTTTTCGATGTTTAGTTCAGTAATCGATTTGGGCGAGAAGCAAGGGGTGGGGACGCATCCCCGCTTAGAGGTTCATTTTTTTTGCTGCCGACTGGCCCTTAAATTTTATACGGTGCCTTTGGCGCAAACTTATCGTAATTGTGAAGGGTGAGTGCGCGCAAAAATAACCTAATTTTTTTAAATCAAACTGTTTCAAAAATTGTCAAAAACTACCCTTTTTCTCTGCGGTTTAAATGTTTTCCCTTCGTCTAGTATCTCTTTAGCCATTGTGTTTATTTCACAAATGGTTGATGATGTTGTATAAAACATGGAATTGGACAAAAAAATTCGATCTTTTTTTATTTCTGGTCTTTTTTTTTAAATTCAACCGGAAAAGAAGTCCAAAACAAGGTCCAAAAAATAATGATTTTGTAAAGATATAAATCTTCTTTTTTTGTTTCCTAATTGATGTAAAAATGTGTTGTTTTTTTATCCAGTTCTTGCGACTCTGGAGTTTGACGTGTTACAGATGGAGACCAAAACCTTACTTACACTGTTTAACAAGGGCAGATTTAGGGGGAGATGCGGGGAAAAGGGGGCGTCCAATGTTTTTTCAAAGTTTTCCCTGCGTTGTAGAAAACTTGGCCAAAACAGGGTCTTTTAAGAGCTTTGGGAGAGCTCGGAAAATCAATTCGGTTCACCTAAAAAAATCAACAACACTTTCGAAAATTTTTTGAAAATCCACACCCCCCCGCGAGGAAATTTTAGATCCACCCTTCCTGCTTAACACTTATTTTTTGTGGGTTTATAAAACTTATTAATCATCCGTTTTGGTGTCCTTATTGTTCCAGAAACAATTGGTTTTTGTGATCTATTTATCATGTTTCTGGAGTTTGTCGTGCTACAGATGATGATAGAGGCAAAAACCTTTCTTAAACAGCTTAATAATTAATAGTTTTGAGAAAACGGATTTGTAAATTTGTAAATCTTCTGTTTTGTTTCCTAATGTTGTAAAAATTTGTAGTTTTTGTGATCTAGTTTTCACGACTCTGGAGTTTATCGTAATACAGATGATGACAGAGACAAAAACCTTTCAATTTCGTAAACAACTGATTAATTTTTTTTTCGAAAAACATTTGTAAAATATTCTGTTTTTTTTTCGTACATTTGATTGAAAGGTGTTTTTTGTTTAGTTTTCACGACTCTGGAGTTTATCGTAATACAGATGATGATAGAAACAAAAACCTTTCGATTTCGTAAACAACAGATTAATTTTTGACAGAAAGGTGTTGTTATTTGTTTAGTTTTCACGACTCTGGAGTTTGACGTGTCGCAGATGGTGATTGAGAGCAAGTACATGGAGGCAGATTACACAGGCAGTCAGTATTGGGAGAACAGTGAGTGGAGCATTAAGAGTGCACACACCAACACCATCTCAGTCGACTGTGCCCAGTGCAAGACAGGCAACCACTCCGCATTCGTTGTCTACCTCCACCTAGTCAGGTGAGGCAGTTCTTTTGCATCTTTTAGAACAATTCTTATGGATACTTGCAGCAAAGTTTACCAATAAGGTCAATTTATAACTGAAATTAACTTGGTAGTAGTAGTCTACATTCATCTAGTCATCTAGAGGTGAGACAGTTCTTATCTATCTATTGAAACATTTCTTATGGATACTTGCAGCAAAGTTTACCAATAAGGTCACTTTATAACTGAAATTAGCTTGGTAGTAGTAGTCTACATTCATCTAAACATCTAGAGGTGAGACAGTTCTTATCTATCTATTGGAACATTTCTTATGAATACTTGCTGCAGAGTTTACCAATAAGGTCACTTTATAACTGAAATTAACTTGGTAGTAGTAGTCTACATTCATCTAAACGTCTAGAGGTGAGACAGTTCTTATCTATCTATTGGAACATTTCTTATGAATACTTGCTGCAGAGTTTACCAATAAGGTCACTTTATAACTGAAATTAACTTGGTAGTAGAAGTCTACATTCATCTAAACATCTAGAGTTGAGACAGTTCTTATCTATCTATTGGAATATTTCATATGAATACTTGCTGCAGAGTTTACCAATAAGGTCACTTTATAACTGAAATTAACTTGGTAGTAGTAGTCTACATTCATCTAAACATCTAGAGGTGAGACAGTTCTTATCTATCTATTGGAACATTTCTTATGAATACTTGCTGCAGAGTTTACCAATAAGGTCACTTTATAACTGAAATTAACTTGGTAGTAGTAGTCTACATTCATCTAAACATCTAGAGGTGAGACAGTTCTTATCTATCTATTGGAACATTTCTTATGAATACTTGCTGCAGAGTTTACCAATAAGGTCACTTTATAACTGAAATTAACTTGGTAGTAGTAGTCTACATTCATCTAAACATCTAGAGGTGAGACAGTTCTTATCTATCTATTGGAACATTTCTTATGAATACTTGCTGCAGAGTTTACCAATAAGGTCACTTTATAACTGAAATTAACTTGGTAGTAGTAGTCTACATTCATCTACACATCTAGAGGTGAGACAGTTCTTATCTATCTATTGGAACTTTTCTTATGAATACTTGCTGCAGAGTTTACCAATAAGGTCACTTTATAACTGAAATTAACTTGGTAGTAGTAGTCTACATTCATCTACACATCTAGAGGTGAGACAGTTCTTATCTATCTATTGGAACATTTCTTATGAATACTTGCTGCAGAGTTTACCAATAAGGTCACTTTATAGCTGAAATTAACTTGGTAGTAGTAGTCTACATTCATCTAAACATCTAGAGGTGAGACAGTTCTTATCTATCTATTGGAACTTTTCTTATGAATACTTGCTGCAGAGTTTACCAATAAGGTCACTTTATAACTGAAATTAACTTGGTAGTAGTAGTCTACATTCATCTACACATCTAGAGGTGAGACAGTTCTTATCTATCTATTGGAACTTTTCTTATGAATACTTGCTGCAGAGTTTACCAATAAGGTCACTTTATAACTGAAATTAACTTGGTAGTAGTAGTCTACATTCATCTAAACATCTAGAGGTGAGGCAGTTCTTATCTATCTATTGGAACATTTCTTATGAATACTTGCTGCAGAGTTTACCAATAAGGTCACTTTTTAACTGAAATTAACTTGGTAGTAGTAGTCGACATTCATCTAAACGTCTAGAGGTGAGACAGTTCTTATCTATCTATTGGAACATTTCTTATGAATACTTGCTGCAGAGTTTACCAATAAGGTCACTTTATAACTGAAATTAACTGGTAGTAGTAGTCTACATTCATCTAAACATCTAGAGGTGAGACAGTTCTTATCTATCTATTGGAATATTTCATATGAATACTTGCTGCAGAGTTTACCAATAAGGTCACTTTATAACTGAAATTAACTTGGTAGTAGTAGTCTACATTCATCTAAACATCTAGAGGTGAGACAGTTCTTATCTATCTATTGGAACATTTCTTATGAATACTTGCTGCAGAGTTTACCAATAAGGTCACTTTATAACTGAAATTAACTTGGTAGTAGTAGTCTACATTCATCTAAACATCTAGAGGTGAGACAGTTCTTATCTATCTATTGGAACATTTCTTATGAATACTTGCTGCAGAGTTTACCAATAAGGTCACTTTATAACTGAAATTAACTTGGTAGTAGTAGTCTACATTCATCTAAACATCTAGAGGTGAGACAGTTCTTATCTATCTATTGGAACATTTCTTATGAATACTTGCTGCAGAGTTTACCAATAAGGTCACTTTATAACTGAAATTAACTTGGTAGTAGTAGTCTACATTCATCTAAACATCTAGAGGTGAGACAGTTCTTATCTATCTATTAGAACATTTCTAATGGATACTTGCTGCGAAGTTCACCAATAAGGTCATTTTTTAATTGAAATTAACTTGGTAGTAGTAGTCTGTATTCATCTAAACATCTAGAGGTGAGACAGTTCTTATCTATCTATTGGAACATTTCTTATGAATACTTGCTGCAGAGTTTACCAATAAGGTCACTTTATAACTGAAATTAAATTGGTAGTAGTAGTCTACATTCATCTAAACATCTAGAGGTGAGACAGTTCTTATCTATCTATTGGAACATTTCTTATGAATACTTGCTGCAGAGTTTACCAATAAGGTCACTTTATAACTGAAATTAACTTGGTAGTAGTAGTCTACATTCATCTAAACATCTAGAGGTGAGACAGTTCTTATCTATCTATTAGAACATTTCTTATGAATACTTGCTGCAGAGTTTACCAATAAGGTCACTTTATAACTGAAATTAACTTGGTAGTAGTAGTCTACATTCATCTAAACGTCTAGAGGTGAGACAGTTCTTATCTATCTATTGGAACATTTCTTATGAATACTTGCTGCAGAGTTTACCAATAAGGTCACTTTATAACTGAAATTAACTTGGTAGTAGTAGTCTACATTCATATAAACATCTAGAGGTGAGACAGTTCTTATCTATCTATTGGAATATTTCATATGAATACTTGCTGCAGAGTTTACCAATAAGGTCACTTTATAACTGAAATTAACTTGGTAGTAGTAGTCTACATTCATCTAAACATCTAGAGGTGAGACAGTTCTTATCTATCTATTGGAACATTTCTTATGAATACTTGCTGCAGAGTTTACCAATAAGGTCACTTTATAACTGAAATTAACTTGGTAGTAGTAGTCTACATTCATCTAAACATCTAGAGGTGAGACAGTTCTTATCTATCTATTGGAACATTTCTTATGAATACTTGCTGCAGAGTTTACCAATAAGGTCACTTTATAACTGAAATTAACTTGGTAGTAGTAGTCTACATTCATCTAAACATCTAGAGGTGAGACAGTTCTTATCTATCTATTGGAACATTTCTTATGAATACTTGCTGCAGAGTTTACCAATAAGGTCACTTTATAACTGAAATTAACTTGGTAGTAGTAGTCTACATTCATCTAAACATCTAGAGGTGAGACAGTTCTTATCTATCTATTGGAACATTTCTTATGAATACTTGCTGCAGAGTTTACCAATAAGGTCACTTTATAACTGAAATTAACTTGGTAGTAGTAGTCTACATTCATCTAAACATCTAGAGGTGAGACAGTTCTTATCTATCTATTGGAACATTTCTTATGAATACTTGCTGCAGAGTTTACCAATAAGGTCACTTTATAACTGAAATTAACTTGGTAGTAGTAGTCTACATTCATCTACACATCTAGAGGTGAGACAGTTCTTATCTATCTATTGGAACATTTCTTATGAATACTTGCTGCAGAGTTTACCAATAAGGTCACTTTATAGCTGAAATTAACTTGGTAGTAGTAGTCTACATTCATCTAAACATCTAGAGGTGAGACAGTTCTTATCTATCTATTGGAACATTTCTTATGAATACTTGCTGCAGAGTTTACCAATAAGGTCATTTTTTAATTGAAATTAACTTGGTAGTAGTAGTCTGTATTCATCTAAACATCTAGAGGTGAGACAGTTCTTATCTATCTATTGGAACATTTCTTATGAATACTTGCTGCAGAGTTTACCAATAAGGTCACTTTATAACTGAAATTAAATTGGTAGTAGTAGTCTACATTCATCTAAACATCTAGAGGTGAGACAGTTCTTATCTATCTATTGGAACATTTCTTATGAATACTTGCTGCAGAGTTTACCAATAAGGTCACTTTATAACTGAAATTAACTTGGTAGTAGTAGTCTACATTCATCTAAACATCTAGAGGTGAGACAGTTCTTATCTATCTATTGGAACATTTCTTATGAATACTTGCTGCAGAGTTTACCAATAAGGTCACTTTATAACTGAAATTAACTTGGTAGTAGTAGTCTACATTCATCTAAACATCTAGAGGTGAGACAGTTCTTATCTATCTATTGGAACATTTCTTATGAATACTTGCTGCAGAGTTTACCAATAAGGTCACTTTATAACTGAAATTAACTTGGTAGTAGTAGTCTACATTCATCTAAACATCTAGAGGTGAGACAGTTCTTATCTATCTATTGGAACATTTCTTATGAATACTTGCTGCAGAGTTTACCAATAAGGTCACTTTATAACTGAAATTAACTTGGTAGTAGTAGTCTACATTCATCTACACATCTAGAGGTGAGACAGTTCTTATCTATCTATTGGAACATTTCTTATGAATACTTGCTGCAGAGTTTACCAATAAGGTCACTTTATAGCTGAAATTAACTTGGTAGTAGTAGTCTACATTCATCTAAACATCTAGAGGTGAGACAGTTCTTATCTATCTATTGGAACTTTTCTTATGAATACTTGCTGCAGAGTTTACCAATAAGGTCACTTTATAACTGAAATTAACTTGGTAGTAGTAGTCTACATTCATCTACACATCTAGAGGTGAGACAGTTCTTATCTATCTATTGGAACATTTCTTATGAATACTTGCTGCAGAGTTTACCAATAAGGTCACTTTATAACTGAAATTAACTTGGTAGT